TCATTAAAACCTACTTGCATCAAATTACTAATAGCGCCTGACTGACTTCAACCTTCAGTTAGTTAGAAGCCAAGTCCAAGCCAATGTGCTTCATATTTAAAAAAAAAATTCAAATAAAAAGCCTATTAATCCTGCTGCCTTAACTGAAAAGTAATACATCAACATAATTGGCACTGAGAGTAAAGTAAAGAAGTAAATTATGTTGATGTAATATATTCTCTAAATGTAGAATTGATGCACACATTTGTATTAAGTAAATTCACTGCAGCTTTTTTTTCAGTAAATAGGTCATTTAAATATTTGAAACAATGGAAAAAGTGAACAATGATTTGTTTAGTTTATGTTGTTTTGTCAAATAATTAGCTAACTAGCTGACTTCCGTCTGCATCTAGGTCTTCAACATGTCAAACTCAGTAATGCTAATAATGCAATAATGCTAATTTCTGCTGGCATCCCTATGTGATTCTAGTAGTATGTTAGCACTAATCTAATTCACATGAATGTTTCTAGTATTAGATTAAATGTGAATGTTTAAAACTTGTAAATGACATTCTATGTGCTTTGTTGAAGCTTGTTATCAACATTAACATATTATGTAATCTTGTATGTATCAGTTTTACAGTAAATCTTTCGATAAAGAGTCCTGGTATAGAGCTGCCACCCGTGTTTTCCATTCCACAACTACTTGAAACATGATTAGACTGTTGCTCATATTCAGTCAGTGTATCATCTAGAACTTCCAGAAGGCCTAGAGTAATATTTTTCTCACAAAATGAGTACCATTGTAAATCAAACGTGATTGGTTGATTATTCTGTCAGTTCCTGAATTGTTGGAAGGTAATCTAACATGTTAGTCCTTTCGTTCAGCTCCTGAAATCCATATTAATGGGAGAGCTCACTTCAGGTCTACCAAGATAAAACAGAGAGAAAAATCCTGATGTCGTGTTTCAAGAATGTGTTGCTTTTGTTTTATGTGAAATCAACATAAACTCAAAATTAGGCATGTATTGATGTATTTCACAGAAATCATTAGACCTTCTCTAAAGGCCTTGAGGGTCCCCACAGTAACTGATGTATAATCCTAATTTGTTATAGTATAAAATAGCACTTGTCCAGAGTAAAAATCATTATGAACTTGCTGTAAAGGCTAAAATTAGCTGAACTAGCAGTAGTTCATGTTCTAATGTCACACCCTCCACTTCATCTACATCCACAGCTCAGAGAGAGAGAGAGAGAGAGAGAGAGAGAGAGAGAGAGTATGACTGTGTGAGAGAGTGAAAGGGATTATACAGAAGTAGCCCAGTTCAATTAAAGTTGCCCTTATCTTTCTTAAGCGCATGCTTGGATGGAGCAGCTACGTACATGCTGCCCAGCATGACCAATTCGGAGCAAGGAGGTGACCAGCTGCCCAGTCAGAGACAGATTAGCGAAAAAAAGAAAGCACAAATTTCACAATTTTCTGCTTGACCTAAATGCAGTTGATCATCCAAAAGATTCCACTGCAGCTATTAGGCTAAAGTAGCTAGCATGCACACTTACCTTGTGTTAAGTTGTTAAGTAATCTCTAATAGATTTGCTTCTGTGGTTTCTGACACTGTATAACACACCATTATCCACAAATGTGGACAGAAGTGTGGACAAATTGCATGTTCAGTCATGTCGTTTGCTTGATGCTAATTGATGCAGTATTGGCTCCCATTACTTCCTTGCTGCATTAGCCTTGTAGCTCAAAGACTGATTTAAATATACCTTTGTCAACCTCAACTCACCACCTAGAAATGAATCAAAACAAGAGAAGAAGCGAGGAGCAGATGATTCAACTGGAACTTAATCACTGTTAGCTAAGTTAGCCTCACTGAGCTACATAGCTATCCTTGCAAACTTTGTACCACTAAATCTTCTGTTTTTTTGAGAAGTTTGATTATAATATACATAAACACTGTGCTTATTTGCTTTGTTTGGCTATATGAGTTGGTTAAGAACTGTGGTGTATTGCCTTTATTTTTGTTGTTGCTAGTAGTTTTGCCATCAGCTTGCTAGCTAGCAGACTATCCGAGTAAAGTAATGAACAGAAGTGGGCAGTACCTGCTTACATGTATTCATATTCATACCCTTAAGAAAATATTGATGGATTTGTATTCTCCTGAGGGTATTTTCAAATCATAATACTTTTATTTCTACTCAAGTTTACTGGGTATGTAAATCAACTTTTTACTCAGTTACATTTTAACCATTCATATTTAGTTGCTAATCCATGTTTTTGTGTTTAATTTCATTATGTTTTGTTGGTGACCATATCTACACTGACTCTGGAGCTTTATCAGTTTTTAGTTTAAAAACAGAAAAATAGGGTCCAAAAACCTCAGTTCCTGTGCTGATAGATGCTCGATTTCATCGCTGTCTAAAGAAAACCATGTATCTCTATTTTTGTCGATTTTTGTTTTTCTGTATTATTTCAACAGACCAGCTGTCCTTTACATTTTGTAAAAATTTCAAGATGAATGGACCAATAGAAATGCTCTAAAATCACTTGTAATAAAACCTCTTTATATTAACTTACATTGAAAGGTAAGAGTGTTTTTACCTTCTCCTGTAAAGCTTTATATCGTGATGCAGAGTTGATCTCCTCTTTTGAAGATTAACATCTGCAAGATACTCAGTACTGAAGTATTTTTTTGACCAGCTACTTTTGTACTTTTTCTCTAACTGTTTCTTTGTAAGAAATGTTTATTTTGTCTTGAGTCATTATTTTACCAAAGTATTAATACTTTTAACCGAGTATGGGTTTAGGCTACTCTAATAACACTGATTCTATATAGAACCATAAAAACTTAAAGAAGTGGCTCTTCAGACTGATGGAGAATGTGTTGCATATATATCTATAGATAGACCCATATGCAACACATTTCCCATCAGTCTGAAGAACCATTTCACCATGCAAAGAATCATTTAAGCATGTAAACGGTTCTTTGACTGTTTGTGGTTTTATATAGAACCAATATCTTCACTAAGAAACCCTTGAGGAACCATCTTTTTTTTTAAGAATGCATCAGTAATTAACGCATATCAGCAGTGATATATAACAGATGGAGTAGTTTTCTACCTAAAACCTGATCTGAACATAACGAACTGAATATAGTTCTGAAATATGAAGTATTTTAAAATATTTTATTAGTATGGTCTATAAACAGCTTTGTAAGCCATTTTGAGGTGGAGGTTTGCAAAGTGAGCTGTACCAGATTGCAGTGATTTCTGGGTTCTCCTGCTGAAGTTGAGGCTTGTGTTCACTTTTTCTCTTGCCCTCTGAAGGCCCAGCATATAAATATTACTTATAAGCTAATAAAGTAAAGGAATGTCCATTGAGATGGCACTGGGGATCCCCTTAAGGAAAAAAGGCTAGGCCAAGTGGACAAGGGCATGTAAACAGTAGTATTGAAACAGATGGCCAATGTAGAACTAAAGAAGCAAACTTCAAACATCAAACATGTCCTGGATAATTGACTAAATTTGAGGTTAAGGGTTCAAAACTGTGCAAATTTGATTCTGACTAATCCTTTACATAAAGATATCACCATTGTACACATTGCTGTCTCTGAGTACTCTGTTATGAAGTGCTAATGGTGAATTTTTCATGCTGTTTCCTGCACTTTTGAAGTGAAAAGAATAAAATGGGTCTCAGCAGGATAGATTTTCCGGGCTTTTTGACAATCAGAGATATGCACAAATGACTTTATTAAAGCCAAACACTAGGAGCTGTGCTGGGATGCGAGGAGACCAAAGCAATCGTTTCACCTTTCCCATCAGGATAAGTAATCAATACTATCAATTAGGCCCTAGTCAGTATTGCAAATAGAGGGCAGTGAATTGGAAAGGGAAGGAGGCATGCAGGCAGTTAGCTGAACACAAAGTGAATAGAGGTCAGTTCACAGGACAAAGATAAAGTCTAGTCTATATTAGGCAATCAGTTGGGTCAGATTTCCATTGAAAATCCATTTTGATCCAGGATAAGGGTTAATCTCTGAAACCCAGCTCATTATGTTCTAAGCTGACAGATGAGTGCCGTCCTCTGCCCATATATCTGTAGTATGGTACCATGTTTAAGGTCTTCTGTTTGAACAGTCTATCATGCTCAATGTATTTGAGGGATGTTCATGGTTTTATATTACACAATTTCTCCTGTAAAATCTAATCTGTCACTCTCATGCTGCTTGCATGGATCATTGAGTATATTGATGAAGTAAGAACCTGTTTTTTGTTTAATCTGAGTGGCTGACAACTTATGTTCTTAACTAGAACTAGGCTCAGCTAGCTAACAGGCTAAAAGATAGCTAACAGCCTAACACCTCCATCATTAATATCACAGGCTTCAATTAAAGCACTTATGGTATGATTAACTGTAAAACAGCTGTATAAAAGTCTAAAAAATGTCACTTGAATGGATTACACACTTCAAATATTCATGTTTCAGTCAGAAGTAGTGTCAAACCCAGGCCGAATCCCAAACGTCTCTATACTCTCTAAGTAGTGTGCTGGCTATGAAAGTTTGGAAATTCTAGCCTCTACAGCCAAACAGAGCATCATTTGTCAAGTATGGATGTGTCTGGATCCCAAATTACTGTTTCTTAGCTGTAATTTGCTCTATTGGGCTGCAGGATCCAGTATTTAAATTCCTACGTAGTGCACTACGTAGGGAGCAGGGAGCCATTTGAGATCCAGCCCCAGCGTGAGAAGAAGGTCATCACTGGATTGGTGCTAAATAAGACTTGCGGTGGTGATTTGGTGACCAAAATACTTATAAAGTGAAGGTTTTTCAATGTTTCAATAAAGCCAGAAGGTGGCAAGTCAACTGCATAATCAATTATATATATTGCATATGACTGTGATATACTATGCTGATATGTTATGGTATAATAATATACATTATTTATGTGTAATGAGATTTATTCATGTCCAGTGGGTCATTAAAGCTACCTTTCGTGTGTGTTTATGTGTGTGTATAGGGAGCAGTTTCGTTGTCAGCATGGGCAGTTATCTGGATGTGTCGAACTGGCTGAACCCAGCGAAGCTGACCCTCTATTACCAAAACAACTCAACTTCTCAGTGGGTCAGAGATTACTGTGGTCAGCGGACCACTGAACCCTGCGAACAGCTGTGTGACCAGGACACCGGTGAGTGACACACACAAACACACAGCCAGCTTGGAGTCTTCCGTTTGTCTCTACTCTTCCCTTAAAGTGATTCTTCAGCCAGAAAATCAAATTTGTGATTTAGCGGTTTGACAGAAAATGGCTACATTGGTTAACATGGGAGGGTTTGAATACATCACTGTGTACTAGCAGCATTTTAAGGACGTGCTGTTTAATACTGTATAGAAAGGCAGGATAATAAATGATCAGATTCCCGCAGCTGATATTTGAAGGTTTGCTGTAAAGATGGTGCTTCTGTTGGCTCTCTCCCAAATCTGTGGCTCCTGATCTACGTGTATCATCTCATTTTCCTTACTTAGTTTTTGTTTTGTGTGGATCTGTTGCGCGCGCTCACACACACACACAAACAAACACACAAACACACACTGGCAGTTCTGTATTCGGGGTTATGTAGGTCACAGCCATGATCCTCCACGGCAAACACATTTATTCACTCTTGACCTTCCTCGGTAATCTGTAGTGCAAGGTCTCAATCAGGTCCTGTGCGTTTGCAGAGCCAGATAAGCTGGGCAGCACTGAAGCATGGGCCGAATATTGCACCCCCTCCATATGAGCACCCACATACAGGGTTTTACAGAGTGGACGGCTGACATTTACTCTGATTTTCATCCACCGCCTTTATTTATTACCCTGACTTTCACAACACAGCCAACACACTGCATCAGGTTGGACCACGAGCGGATGTGCTTACTAAGAAAGGTACTAATCAATTGTCTGAAGTCAGTGTTTTGTGCAATATAAATGTATTATAATTAGTGCTGTCACAGTTATTAACATATTATTACAATAAATTATTAATAGCACTTTGTTTTTAATGCTGTTAACCCATTTTAGCACCATTTTCCACTTTTGACCCTTCAAACCAATTAGTTCCATGAAGCTATCGTTCTGTTCACCAGCGTCTTATTCGAATTTTCCATCGCACCCTAAATGGTGTAGCAGTTACATTGTGGTGCCTGTATAGCAGCCTTATGAGGATTCCAGTACTATGTTAGCATAGAGGTTTTACTGACTGCTTCAGTAAAGATTTGAATTTAAATTTTGTTTCTAGTTATTATTGGAGGAGTTAACTTGTTAACTTCTGTTGAGTTAACTTATTAGCTATCTACTGACCTCGTCAGATAATGTTAATGTGATGCTCTGTCCATATTGTAGTTGAAAAAAGTGCAGCGCTGCTGTGAAATATAGCGTGATTGTTCCATTAGCCTGTTATAGGTGTTAGGTATCAGTACACATCCAAATTTAAAACATTTTAATGTATTTTAGCTAAATGACCAGGAGTCCCTAAATATAATATAAGTTTACTTTAGATTTATGTATTAACTTGAATGATAAACAGAGCTGTAGATGAATCCATGATTACTATGAAAGCTGTGTAACATTGAAAATGAAGTTTATAAAAAATGACAATAAGAATGCCTCATTTTTCAAAACTGGTGAGCAAAGAATGTGTTACTAAATGACTAAAATTAGACCATTAATGTAAATTATTAATCATTTACTAAATTAATATTGCCAAAAATATTGAAAAAAGCATCATATGTTTCACACTAACTGTGTGTAAAGGTGTACAATTATGGCCTGTAGCCAAAAGCGGCTCTGTGATCAAAAACTATCCATGGATGAAGGTTTAGCCCAGGGGTCGGCAACCCAAATTTTGTTCTTTCATCAAAATCAAACCACCTTGGGAGCCACAGCATTTTATGATCATTTTACTGAAGTAACGTTTTCCCATCTTGGCTGTAAATATGTCTCAGTATGTGCTAATGTACTAGCATAGACTAAAAAAAAAGCCGCTTCTCACGCATCTCCGGCAGGAAACTTTTCCACAAAAGTAGAATATTTTCTTGTAAAATGTCTCTGAGTGTTTGACTTTTTACTGAAGTCAGTTTCTCATTCACGAGCTTCTTGTTCTAATTTGTTCTAGAATGCAAATGCAGCACCATTTAAGGTGGAATGGGAAAATTCAAACAAGAGGCTGGTGAACAAAAAACTGATTTCAGCTTCACGTCTGCTGTGGAGCCACAACAGGGCAGTAAAAGAGCCGCATGTTGCCGAGCCCTGCACTAGAGGATGGCTATTGTCAACAGATGAGCTACAGTCTCTTACTGTCATGGTGGAGCTACAAGAGTGGTGTTTCTAATATAGTGGCCAGCTAAAACTAGAGTTGGGTGGGCAACAGAAGTTGAGTAATAAGCACGTTGCTGATTCTTTTTGTTTGAAATGCTTTTCTCCTCCACAGTTTCACTTTTACAAACATTATCCATCATCTCTCCTCCTTCAGCCACCTTTTCTTAAGGTTAAAAAAGCCCTCTTTCTGCATCATAGCCCATCCCTGCATCACGATATAACCCAGGCCTTTTAGCAGGCAATGTTTCAGTCGGGCTAATGCCGTGTCAGATGTGACTGATAGCAGGTCTGCTGTAAATCCACCTAAACAAACACTAAAGGGTAGAGTCAGGAGTGTGAAGGTGAGTGGAAGAAGGCAAGCATGGCACTAGTGAAGAATGTGCTGAGAGAGAGAGAGAGAGAGAGAGAGAGAGAGATTGAATGTAAGTTTCTATTTGAGAGACTTTTTGAAAAGAAAGTTTTAATATTTTCAAATGTTTGACAATTTACTGATGTAAACAATAATATTAATATTATAAATATTTAATGAAATCACTGAATAAAATCTAATTTTTGCTGTTTTGAGAGAGTCAGATTCACATGATGCTACATTATGTGAAGGTGTTTTGCCTCATTCCGTTTTGTGCAAAATCGTCTCACTTGCTGCTTGTTTTGCTTGAAGCCTTTTTTGTGAGCCCATTTCACTTAAAACTGTTTTGTGCATGGCATTTCAACTGATGCTTTTTTGTTCAATTATATCACCTAATACTGCTTTGTGTGAAGTCATTTCACTTTTTTCGCATTTTTGTGCACTCGTTTCGCCTGATGCCATTTTGTGCAAAGCTGTTTTGCCTGATGCCTTTTTGTGAAAGGCCATTCACCTGATGCCATTTTGTGCAAAGCTATTTTGCCTGAAAGCTTCTTGTGAAAGCCTGGTTTGCCTGAAAGCTTCTTGTGCAAGGCTGGTTTGCCTGATGGTGCTTTATGCGAAGGTGTTTTTTTCTATTTTTTGTGCAAGGCTATATTGTCTAATACAGTAATTCTTTTACCTGATGCCTTTTTGTACAAAGCTATTTCGCCTGATGCCTTTTTGTGAAGTCATTTTGTCTGATGCATTTTTGTGCAAGACCGTTTTGCCTGATGCCTTTTTGTGCAAAGCCATGTTGCCTGATGACTTTCTGTGCGAGGCTGTTTTGCCTGATGCCTTTTTGTACAAAAGAAAATTTCCTGGTGCCTTTTTGTGTGAGGCCATTTTGCCTGATGCTTTTTTGTGAAGTCATTTTGTCTGATGCCTTTTTGTACAAAAGAAATTTCCCTGGTGCCTTTTTGTGCAAAGCTGTTTTGCCTGATGCCTTTTTGTACAAAACAAATTCACCTGATTCCTTTTTGTGCAAAGTTGTTTCGCCTGATGCCTTTTTTTGTCACCTAGACAGCTAGAGGTTTATAAACCCCAGCATTGGGCTGTGGAGCAGTGGAACTGTGTTCTCTGGATTGAATCAGCTCCATCAAATACTTTTGGCATGATTTGGAGTAATCCAGAACTAATCATCCAACATTAGTACCTGACCTCACTCTTGTGCCTACAATCAAATCCTCACAGCAGTGTTTCAACTTCTATTGTAAAGCCTTGCCAGAAGAGTGAAGGCTGCTATTGTATCAGGAACATGGGGGAAAAGCTCCCTTGATCTCAGAAGAAACATTGTCTGCAAACTTTTGGACATAGTGTATTTATAACTCATTTCACAAAACGGGTGTAAAGTGTGGCCAAAGAAACAGAAAAAAGGGAGAAACAGTGTCATTGTCAGTGCGAAGCAAAAGTCCCTGTACTTCTTATAAGGCTTTTGTATGGGGTGGTATTAAGTTAATGGCTGGGCACTGCTGAGGAGAGGCGCTTTTGTCTGGAGGCCATTGTGTTCTTTTAGCACCGCACACTACATCAGCAGACTAAAACCAGAGCTCTATTGTTATGAAGACTTGCTCCGCTTTGAATGCACCGCAGATCATAAACGGTTGCAGTGTTTGAGCTCTGCAGACACTTTTAGGTATTGTCAGGTGATTAAGGTTTATACTCATTCATCACAAACATAAACAATACTCTATTATGCTTCGTTACTGAAGGATATAACAAAGTGACTAGGCCAGTACAATAGCTGATGTATTATTAATCCGAAGTGAATGCATGTTGATAAGGCATTGATATGCACTGTTGCGTACTTATACAGTGCATTCTGCATTTCACAATTCTTTGGATTTATTTTCATCAACCATTTTGCTGTTACGTGGTTCATTTGTTATTCAATTCCTGCAAGTTTAATCATGACTGAATCATACATGCATTTTGCGTAAAGACTCCAATTTCATCAATAGATTTGTCTACCATGGCCAAGTTTAGTGGCTCTTTAACCCCTTAAAAGATAGAGAGAGAGAGAGAAGGAGGGGTAGGAATAGAGAGGTAGTTATAGATTGAGACAGAGAGAGGTAGAAATAGAGAGATAGTTATAGATTGAGAGGGAGAGCAGTCGTCTATGAGATAGTATGAAGTGAATGGAGGTGAAAGGACTGCTGGTAATTGAAAGAGGGGGAGCTTTTATCCCCTCTCTCACTTTCTGTCTCTTTCTTTGAGGTAAATCTGTCTGAAATGTACACACGTAGTGAATTCTGTAAAAGCACTCTCAGACACACCAGCTCACAAAGTGCTTATTTTCCTCTGGAGGTGAAAATGAAAAGACATTGACTACTGAAAAAACAGAAAAAAAAAACTGAGAGCTGAAAATACAGAAAAAAAACTGAAAGAGCTGAAAATGCAGAAAAAACTAAACATCCTGAAAGTACTGAAAAAAAAACTGAATATA